CAGATAAACTGTATGACAGAGCCATTGAGGTTTTCCTGAGGAAAGAAAGAAGGATGGATTTTATTTTCAAATGAGCAGGAGAGGAGGAGATCCATGCTGGACATTTATGTTGGTGAGTAGAAACATTTTATTAGCATTTTTTTATGTTTTGTCATTTTATTTCGTTAATAATCAAGAAATGTAACGAAATAAAATGGCTAAATGAAATTATTCTGTTTCTATGCTATTAATGTTGTGTACAACGTGGTGTGTGCAGCTGCGCCAACATTGTTTCGCGGTGCCATTTTCTCCTAAACAAATGCAAATGTTTTTGCTTTACTTATTTATTTTATTGTCTCATCTCTTAAACCTGTCTTTCATTTTTGAGATTTGACAGTATCTGTGGTCTTAGCTTCCTACCCTCAATTGGGAATGCGAGTTTGATTTCAAAGGCTCCGGAAATTACATGTCTTGACCAGCCACTGGTGTGTGTGTGCGCGCGCGCGTGTGTGTGTGTGTGTGAGAGAGAGAGAGAGAGAGAGAGAGTGAAAGAGAGAGGTTTCTCCAGCTGTGATGTCATATTGATGGTATTTTAAGGTGTATTAATTTAGATTGGATTGAATAGGAAATCACCGAAGGCGCAGGGGTGGAATGCACCGCCCGCCACTGCATAATCGGAATAAAACAATGAAGAATCTTAGCTTTTCAGTTAGTTATGTAGAACAAGGTGGTGACGCAAAACGACGGATTTGACCCGGAAGTATATGTATGTAACGTCCACCAGACAGATTATAAACATGCAAAGGGGTTGAAAAAAACACGGTTTATTACTGGGCCCCCTCCCCCCAGAAAAACCCACTGCCTCTCCAGGTGAAGTCCTCTGGCACCGGGTCTGCCGTGCGCGATCCCGCAGTGGCTAATCATTTTTTGGCAGCCAGTCGCTTTTTGGCACAACACCTGTACCGGGTCAAACCGGATGTCGGTCGCATATTTCCCGCAAAGGCTCATGGGAGCTCGAAATAAGGTGGAATCCAAAAAGTTAAAAAGTTTAGTACCAGCTTCGGCCACTGGAGGGTAGCAATTCTCCTTCTTCCCTTGTGTTGGAAGTTAGAGTGTTTTTTCTATTTTTTTTTACCAGCAGAGGGCGCAGATTCCCATTTCTTTCAATTAAACAATTTATAAAGAGCAAGTGGTTTTACTAAGAAAGTCTTATAAAAGTCTTTTTAGACAAAAAACAAAGAGGAAAGATGAACTGCAAGTATCTTCTGTTACTGGTTACTTAAAAATAACCACTAGTAGTGAAAAATAAATAGATATTCATATACATAAATAATGTCAAACTTAGGGGAAGCTGGGATTAAATTTAGGCTTTAAGCTTTTGTGCTTTAGCACACCCTAAGTCGGCTAGAAACACCTAGAAGGTTAAATATCCTCCTCTAAGTTACTTAGTGCATTATTAAGCATGGGTCCCTTTAATTAAGAGTCTGGTAACACATTACAACAAGAGTCCCTTTAATATTGTTACTTAGTGCACTATTAAGCTTTAATAAATATTAAATAAAATATTAACAACTGCTTAATATTAATGTTAATATTAAATAATGCATTACTAAGCAGACACACACACCTCTGGTCTTTTGTCCTAACCTTAAGGACACCTAATAACAATATCGGGAACATTAATAAAAATGACCCTTTGTTAATTATATTAAGTAACATCAATAAAGGGACCCTGACTGTAAAGTGTTAAAATACCCAAGGGGAGGGAGTTTTATTTTGAAGGAATTTACAGAAGTGCAGAGGAGTTGCTAACTGTTTAGCTACGCCAGAGAGCAGAAATCAAACACAATATACTACAGTTGGTTTATGCCCTGAAGAAGGTCCCACACGACCGAAACTAATCGGTTCGTTCTTGCTCAATAAAAATAATCCTCAGTGTGCCTCGGATCACCTGTTTTTCTTCCTCATCCACATCTAATGTTCTACCTGATCCTGAAGAGCACTTTTCCCCTTCACTCCAGTCTGTTTTGATACAACATTCTATAGGATTGATTTCATGTGTTTCCATATAGGAATCACTTAGAGTTTGTCACCATAAATAAACTAAAATGTAAGATTACAAGTAATAAATTTACTTTTATTTAGACAAAAATAATCAGTAAAAAAGAAATGCATGTATTCTAATACTGGTTATTTCCTTGTATTTTGTTTCATTTGTTATTAATACATTTATTGTGAAATCCAACTACATAAATGTTTTTATCTCTTAAAAAATGTGTATGTTTTTAAAAATCTTTTTCAGTGATTGTATGAATGTCTCGTGTGTGTGTGTGTGTGTGTGTGTGTGTGTGTGTGTGTGCGTGCGTGCGTGCGTGCGTGTGTGTGTGTGTGTGTGTGTGTGTGTTAACTATTGTCTTACTGTGAGTTAGTGCTCCTGGTCCCACTGCTGCCTGAATTGCAGTTTTGAACAGCTTTGCTTGCTGAGGAAATGTGGGTAGACAGGTTTTTCTTTGCATTGTGGCAAAGAACTTTTTTTCCCCTCTTACTCTCTCCCGGTCATGGAGGCTGAGTTATGTAAGAGGGGAGAGTCTTCCCACCGCCCCTCTCTGTTTTTGTTTTTCTCAATGAGCCAATGTATCCCTGCATAGGCCTCACAGCCTGTTCTGTAGGCCCCTTTCCTGGAAATATAGCCTAGCAGAGGCCAGCCAGGGGAGGTCCTGTGAGGTAGGAGAGGAGGGAAGGTATGGGGAGGACAGAAAGGGATTGGGGGGCGGGGGGTCTTTTCAAGCCAATCACATGACAGTACACCATGCAGTCCTAGCCCTCAGAGGCTGAGCATACTTTAGCAGCAAGTTTGTCATCAGCAGGATTGGATGTTGATGCATGGCGGAATGAACCTGTAAGTAGATGCTCCCAGGTGTGACACGCAGAAATAGCATGACAAATCCTGATGGATGGACTGGGTTTAGTTAATTTCGACTTTTCTTTGTGTTGCAACAACACTTTCGTGGTCCACGGAAGTGGAAGTGATGCTTCAGCCTTACTGTTCTTCACTTATTTAAACATACAGATAACTTCAGACTAATATGATGGGATAACCGAACAACATTTTGTGATTGTGTTTGAAGCATTTGATCCCTTTAAGGAGTGACTTGAATATTTAGAAGAAAACCAGGAAAATTCAGATGTTTAGTGTGTATGTGTTTTATTTAATAAAATAACTTTGTTGAACCAACAGAATAAACTAACACAGAGACTGACAGATTAAAAAAAACCTTTTGTTGTCTTGTTTTTTTTTAAAGTTTTTTGGTCTGGGTCATGCACATTTTAAAATTCAAGTGATGCTTATTTAAAACTTGTGAATTTGGTTGTGTTGAATGAAGGAAGGTGCTGTCTCAAGGCATGCAAAGGATGTTTGGACCAGATTTTGCAGTGCCCCTGATCGCTTGGCCCCAGGGCCTCTTTCAAGGTAGCTGACCCTAGAGTTTTCCTGTAGCAAAGCAGGAAAAGATAATGGATCTCAGGTCCTTGTAGTAAACAGCGGCATCAGCTTCAAACCACATGACATTTTCCAGCTGTGCGGTGCATACTCATTTTGTATGTATTTTTACTGACATCTGTCAGTGCTGCCTTAAAATGTCCAACACCAGGAATGCAAACAGCGCGGCTTTCGTGTTTATGTCTTGCACTGTGGCCATTGTGGGCACTGGCTCAGCTCGGGGTGTAGTGGGCCCACACGCATTTGGAGTGAACTATCTGAACTGTGCAGCTCTGGTGGATTTTTAATGTTTCGTTGCCTTTTCTCCACCGTAAATATATTTGGGCTGCAGTGTTTTCTGTTTGTGTGTGTCTAATTTTAGCAGTTCTCCTAAGCTGTTTAACTCCATTTCTTATGTTTATTTGATGATGATATGACCCCAGGAAGAATACCAACTGTTATAACGGTGGTTAATAGAGATCTTAATAAAAACAAACAAACAAACTCCACACTTTACTTGTCTAGTGGGTTGTGTGCACAGGACCACATTCAACACATTTGCACATGTAGAGCCTGTGAACTGTCAAAACAATGATTTTGATTCAAATCAGATGTCAAATCAACATTCAGAAATCATTGTCTAGAATATGCATGTGCATAGTTTAATGCAACCTGTTGAAAATAAATGTCTATGCTTTAGTGTATATGTGACTGTAGCACGGTTCTGGTGAAGTAAAAACTGCATTGTTGCACAAATGTTGAAAGACGGCAACATAATCCCCACCCTGCAGACCAACGCAAGCTTCTTTTTTTCAGCGGGGAAAGCAAGTTAAAATTTCGTTTTACGATTGAGTCAAGAGAAGCGAAAGAGAGAGAATGAAGAGCCTGGGTCATCGGTTTCACTCTGCCCTCTGTCAACTTCTTCAACATGGAGATGCTTACAAATCCTCCCTCACTTGGACACAGGAATAAGATGGGGAAAAAAAATGGAAAGTTACTCTCCTCCTTCTCCTTACAGATAATCTGTTTCAATTAATAAAATACCATCACTGCAATTTGAGGAACTATAGGTGAAACTTTTGTGGATTGGAGCTTATGGTCATGATTTCTTTAACCAAACTTTTCCTGTTAATTGCAGGTCAAATATTGCGATTATGTTGAGAAATCGTGATTTTTAAACAGGCTTATACCCTACAGTCCTACAATTACGGATAGCAGAGTATAAGCCATCTAAAATATGCTGTTTTAACGCTAATTATTTACCAAACAGTTTGGGTGGTTTGTTGTGAAGAGTTGAAATATATTTATTTTATTGTTTAAAATCATAATCATATGCTATTACATTTCCGTATGTTTGTGTCCTGTTTATTCGAGCTGGTTCGCCTTTGTTTATTTTCTAACAATTTACAAACAACGAGCCCCCATTTGTAGGCGAAGCGCTGGAATGTGTTTTGTGCGGCGCGTGCAGAGTAGGGAGGAATGCATAAACCACGCCCCTCTCCTCCATATGCTCCAATCAGAGCGAAAAGACCGTTTCAAGGCGCCCACAGGGCCCCATCCGCGCAAAAACAAAACAGTGAATAACAGTAAAACCCTCATATTACAGCCAACTACGGCTTACAGTCGGTTTTCTTTCGTTTGAGTGAAAGAGTGTTACCGTTTACCGGAGGTTCTGCTCGCTCGTTATGGTCTTCCGGGCGATGTTGTTTATCTGTAGTAAGGGGGGGCTTGAAACCGCTCTCCCTTGCCCCATTTCCTCGGTTGTTTTCCTCCTCTCGCCTGGATTCTCCATGTTGTTGATGCTGAAGTGAGGACTTCGCCGCGACGGCTGAGGTGGGCTGTTCGGCAATTTCAGTTTTAAAAGTAGTTGTACGGCCGAGTCGACGGAGCGCTCATCGTGTAAATCAACCTTTAGAGAACATTTCTAAGTGCCTTGCCCATCTCCGCGGGCAGCAACCCTCCGGAAGACAGAAGAACAAGAAGCGGTGGGAGAATAAAGAAACCTACGGGACAAGATACGTCCCGTTCTCACCGAGGACCGAGGCGGATGACAAGTAACCGCGGTGAATAAAAGTCGCCTTGTCAACAGAACCCAATGAGGGATGCCCATCAGTGCTCGGGGACAGGATTTGAGGATTTTGAGGGCTCTGTGATTGTCAGATGGAAAGTTCTGTTATCACCCAAGTACAGAAAGAAGACGTTCAAGTGTCACCGAAAACAGGTAAGCTGAGCCCGCCTGCTTTGCTTTCAGAACCCCCGGTTCTTAACCCCGCCATGTTGTGGTTCGGTGGTAAACGTGTCCTTTCCTGAGCGGTGGTGTGGAGAAGAAATCTCGTTTTTATCTGACAGTTTAGGGGGCTGCGGACCAGGGTGGCAGCGCGACCAGTCACAGGCGCGTTACCGTGTTTTGGCTTTCATAGACAGCACGGATCGGTGACATCTAAACACAGACGTGTTCAGCCCCTCCTGAAATACACAAATGTTTCTACCAAATTACTGCTCTAGGCGATCCAGCGCGGGTTTTAGGCTACAGCAAACGTTTTCTGCTGCATTTCTAAGTTCGGCTCAGTGGCGGCCTGCGCAGATCTTTTGTTGATCCCGTTTCTGCCGCGGGGGCTTACATTCGTTGTGATGAGCTGAGTTTTGTGTTTGTTTTACGCCATCCCATACAGGTAGAGCACGAGGAGTCCACCAGTCTGTCAGCACCGTCTGTTTGTGTGTACGTGCACGCAAGTGCCTGCTGTAAGCGAACCTCCGCTTTAATGGACGGGCCGATCGGAACTGGATGTGCATGCGGACTGCGTGGTTGTTGATGGTTTGGAACTATCCGTTCCTGCGCTGCTGACAGAAACGGAATGCACTAACACACCCCTCTGCACACGCCCATTGTAGCGCCGTTTCTAAGATCTCCTTGTTTGCACACTTAGCTCCATTAATCCACCTCCTAATTGTTCCTATTCCAGATGTTCTGCCCCATCTCACATCTTATCTTAAAGTAAATGTCCAACGATGCAGTATAAAAGTATTCTGAGTGAGCTTTGAGTGATGATCATCAGGTTTGTGACTGATAAACCTCAGGAAAATAATTGTTCTGTCGTTCTGAATCATGTTATGTCACACAGGTCCATTACTGTCATCTGCTGAATCAGAACATGCTATTAGGACTCACAGTCATGTGATGAATCTTCTTGATCTTTAAACTCTGAAAAAGAAAATGGATTCTTGGCTAAATGTAGAGTCACTGAATTGAGTCCCAGTGTCCATTGTCTCCTGAACATGGAGTTGTGTAACATGGTTGTTGTCTGCATTATGCAAGGATCAGCGTGGACGCTGTAAAATGCCTTCTTTCTACCTCGGAGTGTACAGTTTGTCCTTCCACAGCTCCCAGTCTTCCCTCTGCAGATTTTAAAGGGTTTATTACCTATGCTGTCATAGTATTGATGGGTATGAACTGTGCGTCTGTTTGCAAGTCCTCACACGAAATGCACTAGAAGCAACTTGCAGGAATGTTTTCCACCCTTTGTTTCACCGTGGCACAGGTGTTATGAAGCCGGGACCGTTCATTTTTCCAGAAACCGATCATAGGGCTGATCAGCGAGGAGGTGCTGCCTTTCTGTCCTGATGGGGCTTTGGAGTTTAGAACAGCTGGAATGTTTTCTGTCTGTGTTTTTCTGCTGAAGGTTCTGCTGGAGAGTGTGGGTTTTCCCGCCCTCTGTGGTTATGTAACATGGACCAGCCATTTCCAGCAGCAGCAGAGGAAGGCGCATTAAAAACAGATTTGGTGTGCAGTCTCTGTCGCTGACAGATGGACAGTTCCTTCTGGGAACGGGAAGCTTAGTCCAGATATGATGAGCAAATCATATCTAATTATTCTGTTTTCTCTTTCTTTCCTACATTTGTGTGAAGATTTATTTTATTGTGAAATGATTGCTTACAGCTGATGAGGTGTCTCCTCCTCAACAGGCCAGGTGAGCCAATCGGCCCTGAAACAGCCGCGGAGTTGTAACATCTTCAAAGCCCTCTTCTGTTGCCTCAAAGTTCAGGATGGCCCCAAACCCTCACCGCCTCTCCCACCGCCTTCCCAGCAGCCCTTGCTGGAGTCACAAGAAAATGGGATGGTTGTCAAGGTAACGGTGATATTAGAGATGCACCAGTTCTGGTTTGCATGATGGTTTTTGATTCTTCAGCAGCTCTGTCCTGCTGAAACCAGACTTATGTCAAAGAATTATAAACAAAACATTTTTGCTCTGATAAAAAAAACTATTGTTATTGAAGTAAAAAAAAAACAATATGTATGCAGTCAGCTTAAAAAACAAACCATTTGCAAGGATCGAGTGGCTTTGGTGGTGACACATTATTCTGGGAGGAAGCTGAGAACAACTTCCTGTCAGGCCTTCAGGTGCACACCTGAAATAAACAGAGGGGACCTTTTTTTTTTTGACTTATTTAAATTTAATAAATGAAACAAAAGTTTAGAGCAAATAGGATCGGGTCAATTTTCTCTCTGGATCCCGTCAAATGCTTTTTAACGGGTTGCTGTGTTTGTTTTATTCAACGTAATTTTCTTATCCTAATGGATGAGCTATTTCTGTTATGTAACATATTAATAATTAATTCCACCAAGTGCGCTCATAAAGAGCAGTGAATGAAGAAAACAAACAGAAAACAGAGTGATATATTTCCTGATATTACTGTGTTTTCTTCAGAAGAATTCATGTTAAATAGAACTTTAAATAAGTCCAAAGGTTGTAACTCGTGTTTTAAAGGTTGAGTCACCCAGGGTGCATTTATCATAACAGCCACGATGCTGTCGGGACTCAGGAGCACACACACCCACAGCTCCACTCATTGGTGTTAGTTTGGTCTGAGATCAGATCCTTCAGCGGTCTTTCTCTGCCTTCTTAGCAGGCTGAAGTCAGCCTCTTGCCTGAGGTGAAGGCCCAGGATGAAGGGAAGATCTGCGTGGTCATAGACCTGGATGAAACCCTGGTGCACAGCTCATTCAAGGTACCAACACCAGAGTTAACGTTGCTTCTGGCTTAGAAACATTGGGTGTGTGTTTCTTCTACTGGGGCTCTTGGTGCCAGTGAGGAACTGGGAGTGAACTCTGCTTCATGGGTGCAGGCTGACTCATGACGAGGTCGAGGAGTCCGCTCCTTGCTGCTCTCTTGTTATGTAACGCCATGTGAACATACACAGTGTGGCCCATGTGAACCACCCGTCTCTCTCTCCTCCAGCCCATCAGCAACGCTGACTTCATAGTGCCAGTCGAGATAGAGGGGACCACACACCAGGTAAACCAGCGTGTCTGTGTTTGGATGCTTTTGGAGCAGCTATATATCTGGGGGGGGGGGGGGGGTGTAAAGACAGGTGTGCAGATCCCTCTGCTGGACAGATGTTGAACAAGGACACACCAAATGGAAGAGGATGCATCTGCAGGGTAAAATGGGTCACGTTTGTGAAGATGATACTGGAGAGAAGGCTCTTACAGAATATTTTTTCCACTTTGGTGTAAAGTGTCCGTGTGTGTCAGACATGTGGAAATATAATCATGTCAGAAATGTGATTCCTGGGACCCCGTGTGCTCATGAGGAGTCCCTGTGGGCCCCCGCCTGGTTCAAGTAATCCAGGATAGGCTGGTTAACACTGGCACGGCCTATTCTTGATTGCTTGTTTCGGGAAGTGGCCGTAAGCAGCCAGCTTCAGGAGGTGAAAGGCGTGTGAGCTGCAGCTGAGACGGTTTGACGTGTTTCCTGACGGGCTGTGTGTGTCTCAGGTGTACGTACTGAAGAGGCCGTATGTGGACGAGTTCCTGCAGAGAATGGGAGAAATGTTTGAGTGTGTGCTGTTTACAGCCAGTCTCTCTAAGGTACGTAAGCAGATCCTGGACCAGATCTTCATGTTTTATTCACCTGTTTGGTGACTGACACAAAGTCTGATCTGTCGGATGTTTGTTCTGCTTTCTCTCCTCTTGTAGTTCCTCTTTTTTTTCTGCCTAACAAGCTTAGTCTCCTCATTAGACACCCATGTTTAATCACAGTTCCAAATAGTTGAGACAACGCTTCTGGAACAGAGATGATCATGCAGACAAGTGGAAAACTGAAATCATCTGTGAGAAGCAGGTGCATCTCTCATTGCCCCTTCCCTACTCTCTGTCAGTATGCAGACCCAGTCACAGACCTGCTGGATCAGTGTGGCATATTCCGGGCTCGGCTTTTCCGGGAATCCTGCGTTTTCCACCAGGGCTGCTACGTGAAAGACCTGAGCCGCCTCGGGAGAGAGCTCCACAAAACCCTCATCCTGGATAACTCTCCTGCCTCCTACATATTCCACCCCAACAATGCTGTGAGACACACACACACACACACCTCTCAGCTGGTGATATTTGTGTCTGCTCTAGTCAAACAATGCCCACGTTGTAAAAATAGATATTTAAGCTTTTATGAGGTTTTTTTTCTACAATTTAATGGTTGAAAAGTTCTGGAGGGGTTGTTGAATTCCTACTTCATTTCACACGCTGTAATTTCCCTGAACCAAATGCAACAGATCACATGCTTTAAAAGCAAAACAGGTGGGAAGTTTTTTTTTTGCTGTGGTTACATTTAGTGAGTAATTTGCTATAATTAGTTTTTCTGCTCATCAAAACACATTCAAGTCTTATTGGCTCTCCTTTGCAAGGGTCATTTTCACATCTTATTTTTGTTCTCCAGGTTCCTGTGGTGTCTTGGTTCGACGACGTGGATGATGCAGAACTGCTCCACCTTCTGCCTGTATTCGAGGAGCTCAGTAAAGCAGAGAACGTTTACACCCACCTCGACCAGCTCCGTGGACAGTAGCTGCTGAGGGAGCCGTGCATGCATGCTGATGATAGTCACAGTTTCTAGACCATGGTGTTCAACCTTCTGCTTTAGGAACTCCGTCTGAACAGTTGGGGGAAGTTCCAAACATGGAGGAACCCTGTGGTGTGGCTGAAACTCTAGATTTCAAATTTAGGCATTTCTGATGGACCTCTTAGCTGTTCACAGTGACAACCGCAGCCTTTAAAGCACTACAAGAGAAAGAGTGGGAACAACCAAAGCAGTCCCGTCACAATCGCGTTAGTGTAACACGGACGGTGGATCTTTGCCAAAACAGACGCCAGCCTGCCCTCACTTGACTTTCAGATATTGTTAGATTTGTTATTGTGCCTTTTGAGGAACAAAAGTTTTTTTTTTGTCTATTTTTTAATTTCCATCAAATTTTATACATTTACTTAGTTCTTTTATAAGAAAATCTATTTTTAAACATGGTTCCTCTATGCAACCCACGTGTTTTCTAACATAGTATCTCTAAAGGTGGGCACCAGAGGATTTCACACAGCAGAAAATAACGTTACCGTAGCCTTTTTATGCACATCAAAATTTAAACTTTTTTTTTTTTTTGCGTATTTGTTCTGTAAACGTGTGAAAAACATGCAATATAAATCTGTGATGTTCAGGTGGATCTTGATTACAAACGGGGAGAGATAATTGGCACAACTGGTCCTTTGTAAAAAAAAACACTGGAAATGACGGCACATAGGACGACCTTTCAGTTTTCAGAAGTTTAAAAATCGATCTCTTACTGTGTTTTTCTTTCTATATGACAAACAACTTGCACTTGTTTGGTGTTGACAGTGCTGAAAGTGAAAAGTGTGCCTTTTGAAATGCGGACGGAGGGTGGAATTTTGCCACGAGCAGATATTTGGAGGCCTGTGTCATGCTGAGCGTGAAAAAAAAAACTGTCGTCAGCAGGAGGCTGTGGTACTGACAGTTCTACACTTGAAAACATCAAATTTGATATTGTTAACATGTGTAAGTGTTCTATTTTTTATTTATTGGCTACAAACCTGTAATTCAGTACTTCCTACAGCTCCTATGGTGATCCACTCTGCCTACATGGAGGCTGGCCTTGTGTTTACTGGTTTATTTGTGCCAATGCACCACCTGCTGTCATTTGTAACACACTTGCATTGAATTTAAACCACAGGCATGTAAACCTGGGATCTAGTCATGCAAGAAAACATGTTTTGTTTTTGTTCACTTCCATACTTTTGACTGTGGGATTTGTTTTCTGGGTAGTATGTTTTGATGAGGTTTGTGTTCGATACAAATGTTGCCCGCATGTTGAGTAAAATATGACAATGAAAACGTGATGACCAAAAGTATTTGTTAGTCACAACGTTTTTTGTGTAAGAAAAATGAAAATGAAAAAAACTCATTTTGTATATCCTGTACGACCAAAACTCGAGAGGGTGCTACCAGTTTTCATGACGAAATAAAATTTGGTTATATTTTACATGTTTGTGCTTTTATTTCTATATCTTTTGTTAGTTATCAGACCGCAGGTAAGATGAAGGCTATCAGCTAGTGGAAAGCGCCAGACTGATCGGTCGAGATGGCGCCCTCTAGCGGCAAGTTGGATAACATCTCGCGGATGAAGTTGACCAAAGGTGACTAATGGGAGTACAAAGATACGCAGCAAACGTTTTATTCTTGTCTAAAAGTTACAGGAAACTTGGCGACTAGATGAAGAGGTGGAGGACAAAACTGTCCGTGTTAAAAAGTCTTATACGCTACAAACGTGACTTCATTGATGACAGCGCCACGCCTTCTGCTGTCTTGGCGGAGAATTGCATCATCACACCAACAAAGAAATCTCTTAAGGAAAACGTCTCCGTACTATGTGTATGTGAGCGCAATGTTGCTGACGGAAAAGTACAAATAAACTGGGCTTCAATGCCTCATCGTGTCTAGTATAGTTTTACTTTCAATATGAGGAAAAACTCAGGAGAAAACGTTTCTATTTTCACGTTCTTGCATTGTGTATTCACGTGGTTTCTCGTGTTTTTTTGACATAAATCATCACATTTTCCATTTTAAGGTCTAAAATGTCATATTTTATTACAAAATAAATGTCCGATGACATGATGCGGAGAACGTCATAATGAAACTGAAGCTGTCTTGCGTCTTTTGGTTAAATATTTTTAAGCCCGCAGTCGTTTTAGTTTAATAAAAGCAAATTTGTTACAAGTGTGATTAAATGTTGGGATTAAACGCCCTTTTTTCGTGAAAACGCTAAAGTGGGAGGCTGCAGCGAGAACAGACGATTTAATGTTTACAGATGGCAGCGGGGGCAGCAGCCATTTTAGGTGCTCGTTAGCGTGACACAACAGGAAGTGCGCTTTATCATTATTACAAGCTATAGCTCTCTGTAGATAGTTACACGTTTAGTCACCGGCACGGTAAAACATAAATACCGAATCTGTTCATTAACCATCAACAACGTAAAAATAGGTGTGATTCGACATCTTCGCCGAAGTCTTCTGGGCGTTTCCATGGTGACATCAGCAGGCTGCTTCGAGCTGACTGACACGTACTGGTTTGTTAACAAACTGTGGCGGAGGAACAGTAAAGAAGCCCAAAAGCCAGGAGCGCAGAGGTGGGTTCGGGTGTTGGCATCATTTGTTTGCGTCCATGTGTTACTTTAATGGCGGCTTTAATCATTTTAGTCATCAGAATAATGACCAAGTCGTCGAATTAGGTTGGTAGTGTAGCATTGTAAGCTAGCTCTGCTTCCCTTGACGCTGACTGGGGAGAAACATTATCTATTCATAACGCCGTGATGGCTGTGTGCTGCTGCTCCGTTTTTGTACATTCTTACTGTTTTTGTGAATAACATGGTTTTATTTCAACATCAGTAATTGCTCTAAAACGTTTCATACTGTCTGAGCAGCTTTTGTGTAGCTAAGCCTGCTGTGGTTTGTTGTGCTAGTCACCTTTGACATGTATGGTAACCTGTTGTTAAACAACCACTGAGTTGTGTTAAACTCTCGTAATTTATATCATCAGGCAGTGATTCTGTTAGGAACTCGTTCATTTACAAAAAGCTCTATTGTTTATGTGAGCTACTCAGTAAAGAATGGACTGTTACAGAAATAATTTGTAAACACTCAACGAAAATTCAGCGTTCATTTGAAATGACATTTAAAATAATTCCACCTAAAATTTGCTGATCAAAAATCAGTGTGAAATTGTTGTTGTTGTTGTTAATGCTACTGTGTTTTGCTCTCAAGTGGCAAAAAGTATTAACTATTTAAACTTAAATCGGCATATTTCTAATCCCAACATAATTAATGAACTGAAATGTCTTTAAATAATTGAGTTTTTTCTTTTGAGAGTTATTTCGTCAGTAGAGGTTTCGAGGCCTAAGGCTTTACAAATGTTTCCATCTCTGGAAATGAAGAGCTTATAAGCTTGTTTTGGCATCATTTTGTTGATAAAATAGTTCTCTGTTAGTCTTCGTGATTTGCAAACATTATTTATTTTAAACCAACCGTGCTATGTTTTTATATTTTATTTTAAAGTGTTTTGTACATCATAAAATATTTAGAAGAAGAAGAAAATATCATTTCCATAGCGCCTCTCAAGATAAAAATCACGAGGCGCTTCACAAAAACAAAAAATCTAAAAATATAAAAAAGCATTTAGAAAATGTTTAAAAATATATTTAAAATGAGCAAAAGTAGACAATTGGGATTTAAAAGAAAAAATGTTAAGAGAGAGAGTGAATAGGAAAGAGGGAAATCAGTGGATCCTGAAGAAGGTAGAATAGGTGGGGAGAGCAGAATAAAGAGAGAGTGGTGAAGAAGGTCATACAAAAAGGCAAGTGCCACATCATTTCTTGTAAACTGCTTTAATCTAAAACGCTTGTTGCGCCTGCATCATCATCATCATCATCACAATTATGACTGTATATTTCCTTTGTCCTTAAATTAAACAATAATTTGTTTCTATTTTAGAGGAGGTATAGTTGGACTGAAACATCGAGATTGTTCCCGATTTCACCATGAATATGTTTGACCGCAGCATCAACACCGATGCACTCTTCAGGTTCTCCCAAATGTATGTAACATCTGAAGGATGAAATTCCTCTGCTTTTTCTCGTGTTCCCATCGGTCATGAATGTTTTTTTTTAATCTTCTCTGTAGATCCCACTCCACCCAGGTGCACTTGAAGAATGTGTACTCCAGCCTGTCTCTTTGTATGTTCGTGGCTGCAGCTGGATCCTATGTCCATGTTGTCACCCGCCTCTTTCAGGTGATGAGAACAGAAAACTGCCATCTACCTGGACAGGTGGATTAAAAATAAATGTCTGTACAAATAGACCAAAGGGCAGATCATGCCTTACTGAACTTAATCCAGTTGAATGCAAATTTCTTAACCTTTTAGCTTAAGCTTACTATAGAGACAGAAGTACACCGTTCGGGTTTAAGTGAAAAACATGAACATGTGAACGTGGCACCACTGGGCAGCTTTTATCAGGCAGCAGATAAGCATTTTGTTCTTGTAGAGGATTCAGTAGAAAGTGGAACTGAAGAGATGATATTGTGAGCTCCTTTTTAGCTCCTTGGTCTGCTGCCCTGTTTCCTCTCAGCCACGTGGAGATTTACACACAACATTCTAGTTACACACCTCTGATCTGAGTCTGTATCTGTAGGGTTTAAAGAAAACGCTCCTCCTTTAGGCTGGGTTTCTCTTTTCTGGTCTTTTTAAATATAAATTCTGTTGCTTCATTGATATCGATCACTCTTCTGTGATAATGCCATGACACTTCTTTGAAGAAAACGCACCGTTATGAATAATGAATTTCAGACGTGTGAAAGAAACATTAAAACAGTTTCTCTTCTCTGTAAGAGTTGAAGTCTTGAACTGTGATGCTTAGTGTTTTTCTCCTGGCCTCCCTTCTCAAAGGGCGGACTTCTGTCCGTGCTCGGCTCGCTGGCGATGATGTTCTGGCTCGCCATGACCCCCCACAGCCCTGAGACGGAGAAGAAGAGACTGGCTATCCTCGCAGCCTTTGCCTTCCTCACAGGTGGTATTCACATAACACTTTAGAGCAACCAGGGCTGCACTAAAGTGCTTCACAGCAATTTAATATTGTATAATATGATATAATAAACCAACAAACCCTCAAAGTCATTTAAAAGATGATAAAGAAATCACAAGGGGATGCAGGGGAATCGGTTTATAACTAAGGTCAGAGGTCAGTGAGCAGAAGTGGGTGTGAACAGATCTAATGTGGAAAGGAAGGTTGTTCCAGAAGTTAGGGACATCCATTTGGGTGGGGTATCCAGGAGCTAGGCTGGGACCAGGAACCAATGGAGAGATTTTTCTTCTACCTGTTTAAAAGTGTACACGTCCAGAGAGCTGCGCTCTACAGCTCACTGTTTTCTCTCCTCCTACTCTAGGCGTCGGCCTCGGCCCCACTCTGGACTTTGTCATCGCTATTAACCCGAGGTTTGTCAAAGATTAATTTGTGCTGAGTGACGCTGAACTAAACATAACAGTACACCCTGGTTCTGACCAAAGCCGTGACTGTGTTTGATGTTCTGGTGTTTCCTTTCAGCATCATTGTGACAGCCTTTCTGGGAACCTCTGTGATCTTCGTCTGCTTCACTCTCAGCGCCCTTTATGCTAAACGCCGGAGCTACCTGTTCCTGGGGGGTAAGGGCATCCGTCTCTGAGCCGGGCGGCCCTGGTACTGGGGCTTCCTGACACAAAATCATTCCAAACACATGTTTTATGTTTGCTAATACATGCATCATGATGCAGCATGTTTCAGGTTTCACTGCTCTTTGTGGAAAAACAAGGGGGGGGGGGGGGTTCATTTTGGTGGTAGAGGCCACAGAACGGTGTTTATGATGGGATACGAGCCTTGTTATATGTTAATGTTTATTGTTAATAAATCTGCTTCGTTAGGAGTCTCATTGTTTGAATTGGTAAACGTGTTCCCAAGTCCTAAAAACTTGTTAGATGTAATGAATGTCTTTGAGATATAAGTGGAGAAAAAAGTCAAGAAACAAACCTGACAAAGTAAACAGCAGCACCCACCGGTGTGGTACTGTAACTAACTCATTTCTTTCCTCTCAGGCACTCTGATGTCTGGCCTCTCCATCCTCTTCCTCATGTCCCTGATGAATGTGCTCTTTGGATCTCTGATGCTGTTCAAGGTAAACAAGGGAAACCTGTGACTATTTCCTCCTAACCACTATAATCACACGTGTGTATTGTTAACACGCTCTGACAGCTTTGCGTTGGAACGTTGGCTGTAAGCTGACAAATGGCTGCAGCTGGTGGTATAAATCCACACAAGGACCTTATTTACCTTTGGCTCTTTGTTTTCAGAAACCTGTTTGTGACAGAAATCTGTAAAAGCTGTTTTAATAGGAGCTGAACATAAATGAATAACATTTATTCCTAAATGCTCCTCCAGCTCAAGGTTTTAAGTCAAATATTCTTTTCTATTGAATTGAACTGGGCTCCTAAACACGAGAAACAAAGAGTAAAAAGGGCAGGTAATAAATGTTGTTGAAAATACTTCCAAGTGTGATATTGTGTTGTGTAAAGTCATATTAAATGTGAACATGTGGGCCTTACATGCTACTTGTCTCATTTACAGGCGCACATGTACCTTGGGCTGCTCATCATGTGTGGCTTTGTCCTCTTTGACACTCAGCTCATCATTGAAAAAGCAGAGAATGGAGACAAAGACTATGTGTGGTGAGGGCTCCTCTCCTCTTTTATCTCGTTTTGTTTGAATGCTCCAGTTCAGATGTTAACTAGAAACATGTAAATGTGCAGTGAGTGTCGGTCAGTCCTTGCAGGTATGCTATACCTGCAGCAGACTCTGCTTATAATGTGTGTTCTGGTTTTGAAGGCACTGTGTGGACTTGTTCCTTGATTTCATCACCATCTTCAGGAAGTTGATGATCATCCTCGCCATGAATGATAAGGTACTGATGCTGTTATGTAACTTTAAGGTTTAAAGAAACACTGCAGTTTGGGCTTGCTTTTATCACCCTCTAGAGTCCGTTGTTGTTTCATTGTCGTAAAACCAGAACTGACTACTCGCAGTGCGCTCATCTTTTTAACACCTTAATCTAACAGCTGAAACGTCTCCTCAGTCTTCCTTAGTGTCTACAGAAGTGATTCATCACAAAATCAAGCTGTGTTCTTGATTTAAAACATAAGTTTAATGGTAACTGGATGGTTATTCCCAAGTTCGCGGCTTGGTTAGCACCGGTTACAGGCAATAGCTGGAAATTATAGCTTAAATTTAATATTTAAAAATAGCTTAAATTTGGTCAAAGTGGCCTTAAAAGGGGTCTTAAAAAGTCTTATTGTGGCTCCCTTACACCTGCAGATACCCTGATATTAAAATGATTATAAAATCGGGGTTAAGCTAAAACATGCACAAACAAAACATATAAAGTTACAAAAGAGATAGGATGATTGTTAGGTCTGCATCCTGTATGAATCGATATTTGCCTCTGAGCTCTAGTGATTCAGAAAAGTCCTGATGTTTACTCTTGTTGGACTCCTATTGTGGTCGCATGTTGTTTTTATTTTTCTAGTTTCATCAGATAAATATTTTCTTTTGAGGCTCCACCGTGATAAACTCGTTACAATAAACCAGTTATAGCTCGTCTGTCCTGAGGTGCAAACACGGATTGCCGTAAAGTGTTACTGCTTCTGGCTTCAGGAGAGTAGACTGAATACTCTGAAATTGCAAGTGTGGTATTCTGGCCACAGGAGGCGGAGGGGGCTTAGAGACTTTTCATTAACCCTGTAAAAGGTCATTTTAGCACATACTGGCTCAAGTTTCCCTTTTAAATAATCCTGTTAATTGTAGAAACTCACTAGAGCTTCTGAATGATGGAGCAACACTAACTGCAGGTTTTCATTTGCAGCTTTTTGCAGCACAAGTTTCATCATTAATCATAAAAGAATATTTCATCCATTAAAACCTGCAGCTGCATAAATATCTGAAACTGTAGCAAACAAGAACGACTCCTCTGTTTTTGAACATCCGTGTTCTTCATTTATCAAAGATTCAACATTCCTTCACTTTCACAGAACATCTTCTTGATCTAGAACGTTCTGTTTAAACACGCCATGCTTATTGAGGGTTCAGATCTGTGTTTCTGTGGAAATGATCAATTAATGTCAAACATTCTGAGGCCAGGAAAAAAGACTCAAAATTGTTTTCCATTTTTGAATAAAATAATCGCATCTTTGTGGTCCGCATTATATAATGAATGAAGTTCAGGTGTGTGAACAACAAAACCGCCTCCGCTTCAATAAACTAATCTCTTCTACTATGTTTTTGTACAGATAAGTGACTTCTGGTGCTCTGGTATAAACCACCGATATTTGATTGAAGCTGTTTGTTTGTTTTTCAGGACAAGAAGAAGGAAAAGAAGTAAACACAGCAGCAGGGAAAAGAGAGAAAGAAAAGGCACGATCTGCGACGCATTTGGTGCTTTCCCCTTTGTCCTAATTTCTTGATCTAACTATTCTGTGGTCTTACATTTTCTGAATCTTTTGACATGTTTTTGAACCTTCTGAGCGTTGGCCGTTAGATTCAGCTCCGTACCGGTGACCTCATCGGCGCTGCAATCCTCATGCTTGGTCTCTAGAGGGAAGCGTTGTCTAATCAATTCCAGCATCGCTTCACGAAGATGTTCATGTTACTGTTATTTAGTGCCATAAAAAAGGAGATGATAGAATGGTTTTGAAGAATCTTGTAGGCTAATTACTTTATTTAATTCTTCTTCATTTGCCTGTTTATAGTTTCTCTCTGTGCGTCTTAATAGTCTTATGATTAGTGCTCGCCCAGAATTTAGACAAAAGAGGCTCCTTCTCAGATTTATTGTTTTTTTTTTTCTTTCAGATTTCATTATGAATCAGAATAGTGAGTTGTGGTTATCCCCCCCCCCACACACACACACACACACACACACACACACCCTCCCAGGAAATCCCGGTCAGTCTCATCCAGATGGAAGAAGCCACCGGGTGGACTAGTTTTGGACAGGTTGATGTAGGAGACTGTGCCATCTGTCAGTTTTCCTCTTTTCCACCTTGGCTAACAGACTGGTCACTTATCTGACTGCTCTTCTTGTAAATTTTCCCCATTTCTTCTGTCTAAACGGCAGTTTGCCAAATGATGTAACATTAACCTGAATATTTGGCATCATGGCTTATTGTTTGTTTGGAAAATGTAAACTGTGAAGGATTTTTGTTGATGTAAAACAAACTACTAATTTGATACATTTGCTCTAATAAATGTGTTGACCATATTTAAGCAGTTATTTGTGTGTGTGTGTGTGTGTGGGGGGGGGGGGGGTATTCAGCGAGTTGTCAGAAGATATGTTGAGCTAATCATAATTATTGTAATATATGTTCTGTCTGAACTGAAGGGAAGCAAAACAAAATGGTCTGAATGGTGAAATGCAGTGAAGAGTCAACTGTGGACAGAAAATCTGAGCCGATGATGGAGATCTGCATCTGGTGGCTCACCTCCGGTCGTCCAACGATGGCAAGTCCATGTGCTGGAGAAAGGAACACGCTTGAATCTCGGGGGTTCTTTCAGTATAGATTAGATCTGAAGTTTGAATCTGTAAACCTGTCCAGAAGCTTTAGGGCAGGACAGCAGAACGACTTTGAGATTCAGCTCAGACACAAACAAAATAAATCAAAACATTTTAATTAGAAAGTTGAAAAACGGCAGTAGGTACATAAGATTTCTATTTGCTATGAAAAGAATGGCAGAGATGAAGAAACAAGATATGAGCTACTAAGCAAGTCGACTGCAGATTTCACAGAAAGATAAAAAAAAGATTAACATTTCAAATAAATAAATAAAAAAAATACATATTCATCAAATAATGTAGCCATTTCTCTGTTCTATGTAATTATTGCTGGTATATATTACCTTTTAAATGCATTATGAATCATAAACCTGACTGAAAAACGATGGCCCATGAAGTAATTTTGACTTTAAACTTGTGATGCATAAACACAGACATGAACATTCTTTTTTTCTAGGTGCTTCCTTTAGATTTTTGTTTTGATCCGATGTCTGTGCTGCTACAGAACTTCCTCTCCTCGGCAGGTCGTTGCTTCATCCATAGACACGATGAAGATCTTTCAACCAGATAGAAAAAAAAAACAAAGTTCTTGATGTCTAGCAGGAGTGAGAAACCTCTTGTGCTGCTCGTTAGCTTGGCCATGCATTTTATTGTCCTTTATACACCAAGTGTTCATTGGAGTGGCTTTTGGCTTCACGTGTTTTAGAAATCCTGAGGAGATGAATCCATCGTTCCAGTTGCAACAGCTGAGAAGTCGTCACCAGATAAACTATTTTCTGTGTCAGCAGCAGCAAAGCAGAACCAGCAGACCCCCCCCCCCCCCCCCCCCCCCCCCCCCGAGGCTCTTTGGTCCACCCCTCCCTAGGCTACATCATCCCTGGCTGCCGCAGGATGACAGACTGTCATACAGAGAGTCGCTCAGAGACTCGGGGGTCTCCAGGACCTGAGGGCGACTTGGGGAGAGAGCCTCCTCTGGCCGCTCCCTGAGGAGCTCCAGCCCCGCCTCTCGGCTCATCTCGGGCACGCTGGGGGCGCGTATTTTCCCCCTGCGGCTCATTCCAGACTGGGCCGGGATGGGCAGGCTTCCCGGATCCACCACTCGGCTGGAGGACGGGCCGCCGGCCTTCAAGTTCTAAGGGATAAGAAACACTTCAGGTCACGTTTCATCTTATGTAACACCTTCAGGTGCAGGAAGAAAAAGTGGGTTGCATAAAAAAACACACCCATGTGTGAATTTTTAATGTGGAACTGATTAATAATAGCTGAGGGGAGAATGTGCTTGTGTGGCTTTACATTAAAAGATGAAGAGAATTTGAATCTGCTGCAAACACTGCTCAACTCTGCCTCTAATTCACCCACTTTTAAATGAAACAAACAAAATATTGGCCTGTGATGGTTTTCCATAGGTTTCCTCAAGTGCTAAGGCTTTTTAGGGAAACTTATCTACTTTAAATGATAACAAGAGTTCCATATTAACATCTCAAAGCCCAGAACAAGCTTTAACAGACTCCAGAGGCTCTACAGCAAACCAACTCGTGTGTCATTCTCTAAACTTTTGGCTTCACCTGTATTTTGAGCAGCAGAGCTCAAGTCCTCTGCAGATCTATGCACCAAAACTGCATCAGCTCTACGCGTACGTCTGAGTGTGCTTACTGCTCTGAAGGGTGAGCCAAAAGCTACAGTGTCCTCCTCTTCCTCCTCCACTGCCAGGTACACCTCTGCAGGTCCAGCAGGAGCCTTCAGGTTGGGGAACGTCCAGGTCTTAGAGCGAGGAGAGAAGATGTTGGCTCCATGGGCCTCTTTGTCTGCAGACAGGACAACAGCAGGAGATGTTGAAGTAAAACAGAACATGACCATGTTTGTAATCTGAAAATGAGGAAGGTTAAAACTGTTAATGCAGCAAAGCAGAATAAACAGAGTCCCATGTGGTTCTACAACTCCTTTTGGGTTCCATAGAAAACGCCTAAAAGCCTGTTTGTGGCTGATCCAGTAACTGATCCATATCGGCACCTTCATGGATGACTCCAGCTGAGCTTCTCCCCTCCAGGACGGAGCAGTACTGGATGGTGGGAATCAGCTGTTTGTGTGGTGTGAAACACTCTTCTTGTGAGGTCAGCTCCCGGTCCAGAGTCCGGGCCCGCCGTCCAGCCCTCCCTGGAGATTCAGAGAAGTGGTGCTCAGCCCCAGCTCTGGGTTTGGACGGACCCCTTCCAGTCGCACCGCTGCTGCAATCAGGGAGAGGGAATGTGCCAATGCCGCTGTCCAGGGTGTACGTGGAAGCACCGGAACCTGCAGAGGAACGGGGAGGGGTGTCAGGATGAACGGCTAAACTCAGCGACTTTTAAAAGCACGAAAGTCCAGTTTTCTCCATGATGGGCTTTATTCACCCACACAGTCAGAGAGTCTATTTTACTAATTTGAGTTAAGAACCAGATGAAAACCAGAAGAGTTTATTGTGTTCTGACAAGCAGAACCTCAGAACTGAAAGGAGGACGATGGATTTCCCATGACTGTAGATCTGTATATTTATCTAAACGGTATGTTTGGTTCAAGCCCTGGAATGTAACCGAGTTGAGGAGCTTTAACTGCTCATTTTAGATCTTTTCATCCAGTATTTTTGAATAAAAACATCTCTATTTCTTCATGACTGACATTTCGTTGTTTCCTGAATGGGGCTGCATCATCTCCATCATCAGCGTTCCTCAGGGTTAGCGTCAGACTGAGAGGCTGCCGCTGAGACTCGGCGTACTCCTCTGACTCGTAAAAGCAGCTTCTTTAGACCGTTTGTTGGTTTAAAATTAAAACCATGGTTAGACCACACAGAAAACCCCAGAGATCTATTACAGTCCTGAAACCAACCAAGGGGTCAAACTGGATGCCGACCTTTCAACGGCCCCTCAGATTAATACAGTGGTCAGATCCTGTTTTTTTTTTCAGTTGCGCCGACTGGTTTTCTTAAAACTTGTCCTGAAACTGGTGCATCTGGAATCCTTAATTCATGCTTTTATCATCTCCAGCTTGAATTTAGCTAATTCCATCTTATTTAGCATACTGCTCAGTCTTAACAGGCTCCAGGTGGTCCAGAATGCAGCTGCCTGGTTTTTGACCAACACCTCTAGACATGATTACATCACCCCTCTGCTGGAGCATCTCCACTGGCTACCCATAAACTTCAGGGTGATGTTTAAGATTCTGACCTTAACTTTTTATTAGTATTATGCATTCTTTTTGGAGACTGTGTTTATCTGCTTTGCTACATATTGTTACTATTGACCAGTGTTGGGAGTAACGTGGTACAAAAGTAATTAACTACTGTAATGCATTGCTTTTTGCTGTAATGTAGTAATGTAAGGCATTACAGGGAAAGAAAATGGTAATATTTACTCGGTACAATTGACAGTAACGCGGTAATTACAATGCATTTTTAAACCCAGAATCAAGATGTGGGTTCCTAAAATTCAAATTGCGGGTTGCCTGAAAAAAAAAATCCAGTATCCACATATATTACGTCATTTATGGACTCAGCTTTGCGGGCATTCTATGAGCAGAGGACGCAGCGGTGATGGTTCAAATCCTCAAGCTGCGTCCTGCGCGCATCCGCTGTTATATTCACAAAATCGCTCCACCAAAACCAAGTAATTCATTTGCGATTGTTTATATCAGCCCATTTTCTCTGGTACTTCATGTACTTTTCAGCTGAGTTCATAATCTGTGCCTGGTGATTTCAGCTCATTGCTGCTGGAGCGCAGCGCATGTTAAGCTCCCCCCCCCCGTTTGGTAGATCCCTTTGGCTGATTAGTTAGAAAGTAGGAAAACTAGGAAACAGTTTTTCTGGAAGACGGAGAAAACATGCAGCATGCAGGAAGGTTAGAGAGAAAGGGCAGGAAATTATTAAAATAAAATCAAGAAAAAAAGAAAAAAGTAGGTAGATTTATCCTCAATAAACATTTTTACCAGTGAAACGCAATAATATATAAGGATTTAATATTTATACATGTGATAGAATCAGATCACCCCAGAAGTCAGTCCCACATCCAGGGCCGTATAAAGGCATTTGGGGACCAAGGCAAATATAGGCTTGGAGCCCCCACCACCTCTCTCCCTGCTCAGTTAATATAAGATGGCAGCGTGCTGAGAGTACAGATTGTTGTTGCTTTTATTTAATAAATGATCATTTTAAAGCACTGTTATTATATCTGACTGTTTTTAACAGCAATCCTAGCTCAGACACCACATCACTTTCCACATATATGTCATGAGCTCACGGAGCGTCAGAATACCAGATTCATATTGAAGTTGTTTTGGTGAAAGTAACTTAAAGTAATGCAAAAGTAGTGTAATGCCTTACATTTTAAAGTCAGTAATATTGTAATGTAATGAATTACTTTAAAATGATGGTAACAAGTAATAAATAATGCATTACAGTTTTGAAGTAACTTGCCCAACACTGCTATTGACCGTGTTTTTGCTTTATATTGAGTTTTAATTTTTATCTGTACAGTGCTTTGGTCAGCTGCCATCAACTGTTTCACAGCATTTAATGCAATGCTACATAATAAACCTTTAGATTAATGTCAATAACGCATTGCATGATTATTTTTGGCGAACATCGAATTTGCCACATAAATAAACATGTAACACGTGTTACCAAAAACATCCTGCATCTACATGTGTAGGTTTTCAATCGCTCCCTGCACCCCATCCTACCTGCAAAGTGCTGAGAGTGAACTGAATCTGCCAGGTTTTCGTCTGAAGTGATCTTGCTGATTCTTTCTGAACCCTGCACGAGAAAACAAGTTGTGAGTATGTGGAAATCTTCAAATCAACCCAAGTTCAGTGTTGTTCATGCCCTGCCTCCCTGCAGCCTGTTTTTCCCTGAGGAGCTACCTTCTCCATGTCTTCATGGCTGGTGGTGTGGCTGATGATGCCCTGCTGAGTGAAAAGTGGTCTGGAGGTTTTACAGTCGAACGAGAGCCGGCGCTGCGGCAGGCTGATCACGTCCTTTCCATCCACTCTACATTTATCAAACAAAATAATGTTAGCGCTACTTTCACAAAGAAATTTCCATGTTTTGTGAGACAGAGTCAGAAAACTAACATTCATCCCCAGAAGAAAGTAGATAAACTTCATTTCCCAGAATGCTTAGCTGCATTTTGTAAAGAAACGGTCCGTTCAGGATTCTCACCTGTTAAGTAGCTGTTGCATGAAGTTATCGGAGCGTGCTCCTCTGTACATGACAGCTAGCTGTCCCTGAGCTTGGTCCATCACCACCTCACAGGAGTGACCCCTTCCTGACCTCTCCACGTAGGCCCTCTCCTCCTCCAGGGCTCTCCTCAGGCCCTCTGCCTTCTCCATCAGAGTCGAGATGTTCAGACCTTCCACACCTTCTTTACATCTAGTGGCCATTTTCACAGAGTCCCTGCTAACCGAGGGGATGTTTATCTTCCACTCCTTCTTCTCGTCCTTAGCTTTGCTGGCTTCGGTCTTGCGGCTCAGCGCTGGCAGCTTACTCTTCTTCAGGCCAAACCAGCTGGCTATGCCGTTTGAGGCTTTCTGCTTCACCTCGCTCCCTTGCCCTCCTTTGTCCTGCTCCTGTAGCTTCAGCATGTTCTCCTCAATTCCCTTCATCACTTTCTGTTCAATGGCAGACTGAGGACAAGGACCCGGTTGTGAAGGTTTCTCCCCCTCAGAGGTGGGAGGCCTCGGAGGAGGAGGTGGGAGGCTGTCTCCATACGTAGGGTTCTTTTTCCCTTTCCTGCTGATCTTGGTCCTCTCTTCTGATTTGGACGAGTACCGAGGACCCTCCGAAGGCTTTCCCCGACTGTGGACAGAAGGGCCTTGACAGGGTTTGGATGGAGACTTTGGTGGGATTCTGTTGGGGCTGTTGCTATTCTGTGGACCAGTTTTAACATTACAGGGCAGGTTCAGAGAGCCAGGACACTTAATGTTGTTGCGTAGTACCTGTGGAGCATCTACGTTGGGGGATGGCAAACCGATTTTGCTCTTAGAGCCCTCAGGCTTGGCCATACTTAGTTCTTGTTTCACCATAGGTGGCCCAGAGGACGAAGGCTTGACCGTCTGCTCATACCCCTGAGACAACCCCGGATATTTCAGACCCACGTTGTTCCCTTTGGGTTTCCCATCCAAAGAGTCTGTGTATTTAGAATGTCTCTGCTCCTCTTTATGGCTCTCCGAGCCCCTCTCTGCTGTCTTGCTCCTGTCCTCTCCATCGCAGTCCTCATTCAGGGTGTCAGCGGGTCTGAGACTGACTTGTAAATCCTCGGAGCTCCTCAGCTTGCCCAGTGCTGCCAGCCTGTCTTTGAAGGCGTGGTGACTGGAGTCAGCCTGGGATCTTCCTGACCCAGCTGTAGGCCTCTTGGGGATGGATGATAAGTCGGTCCTCCGGACTAGAGGTGGAGGCTGAGGCTGGGAGACCTCAGAGCTTGGAGTGCTGACTCCCCTCGAGTCTGGCTCTGGTTTCTCTCTGACTACTGAGTAGTTAGCTTTGCTCTGAGCTTTGTTGATGGCTGCAGAGTTGGACAGGCTGTGATGATTAACCCACACAGGGCTGTCAGAATCCTCCTCCTCATCTGAGGTTGACTCGGAGGCCGATGAAGATGACTGTTTTTGCTGAGGAGATGGATTCAGGACACTTTCTGGTAAAGACTTAACAAGCTTCCTCTCGCCAACATTTCCCTTTGCTTGAGCTGGCACCATACTTCTTTTCTCCGGACTCTGGATGTGGTCCTGTTCCCTCGAGCTGGACATGTCTGACACATTTTCATAATGAGGGACAGATTGAGGAGCTTTGGGTGAGCTCAAACAGGAGGCAGAGGGCGCCCCTAGCTTTGAGCTAGCACTGGTTTTTGGTGCCGAGAGGCTGCTGTAGCTTTTCTCCTTAGCAGGTGGAGAGCAGACGTCTTCAGGCTGTGGAGGGGAAGTTGGTGCTGAGTGTGTGGCAGGGTAGGACTCAGACCTGGAAGGTGGGGGAGGGGGCTGCCTGCACCTCTCTGTGGTGGTGGCTCTGCGCGTGGGGACAGGGGAGTGGTACACCTCGTAGTTGTTGGTGCGACAGGGAATTCTGGAGTTGCGGGTGAGCTGCGGGCTAAGACGGACAGCTGAGGTTGAAGCCTGGGGCTTCTCTCCTATTGTCGGAATCTTCAAGAACTTGAGAAGTTTGGATGGAGAGTTGATGGCAGCAGCTTTGACATCGCTGAGGCAAGATGGGCTGGGGCTAACAGAGGCAGTGGCTCGTACCGAGGAGCCCTCCTGGTCTGCACTATCTGGCTCTGGATCAGCAGAGGGATCATTCAACGTAGCGCTGGAAGAGTGTGCCAACCCATTATGAACGGCATCTCCCGTATCCATGTCACAGTGTGCGATCTGCCCACTCTCATCCGCAGAATTGGGCAGATGGGAGGTGGCGCAGAAGCCAGTGAGTTCCTCAGGGTCAACTGCTTTTAGGGAACTCTCAGGCTCAACCTGCTCCACTGCCCCCACCTCCAGGCTCTGATGGACAGTTGAGTGGCCAGTAGCACCTACTGGTTGCTGATGGACTTCACTGCATGATTTGGCTGGAGGTACAGAGTCTCCTGCTCTTGTCTTACTGTGACATTTGCTCGTGGAAGCTGCAGGAACATGGCTCTGGGTAGTGGGACTGGCCTTGAGAGGACTACAGATGTGGTTGCATGGCTTTGGAGGACTGTCTGGGCTCTTTTTGCAGCGTAAACAGCAAGTGTTCCCTGTCTCACACTTGGCAACCCCGTCGCCATTAACCTGCTGGTGTGTGTCCGTGTCTGAGCAGGAGCAGTGACAGTGTGTGTGGTGGGATTTGCACTGGTGAGGGAGAGAGTCTGCAGTGGCCAGCACAGCCTCCGCAGACATCAGCACCTGGCTGTAGTCACAGAAAGACAAGGTTGTGGTTGATGGGTGAAACTTCAGGGGGTCTGTCTCCTCCATTTTACGAAGGACTTCCAGGATGTGAGCTTTCTTCTTGAAGAAAGGAGACAGGGCCTCCATGGAGGCAGCAGGACCATGAGGACCTGGGGAGGCATGCTGTGTGTGGCTGCCGCTTCCCTTTGAACAGAAAAAGATGATCAGAACATTATTCTACAGGAACACTCAAATAACTGTGCAGTCCAGTCCACCAGACCTTTAGGTGTACAGGAAGTGAGTGAGAGTGAGATTAGGAGTAAATGTCAGAGCAGCTCTAAGTCAGGCAGGGACTGTGGTCCCAGTCAGTGCCTGTGATGTAATCCTGCTGTTTCACTGATAAAGCTTTGTGATCACCTTGGCTTGTGCTTCAGTCTGCGCTGGCTCCACCTGCTTGGCCAAGTCATTGTGTGGCTGTGAATTGTAGTTTGGGAGGGGTCCTGTATGGACCTGTAACAGGAGTCACACAGCAATTAGGATGATTTTACAAACACTACAGGCTATGAGATTCACAGAGACCCAGCAGCGGGGTTATTCCGGCACCTGTTGGAACAAAGACCAACAGGTGAAACACCCAGGATTACAGCCTCAGCATGGTCTGAGCAATACATTAACAACTTCATCTGATCTGGAGTCAGAGCTCTGCCCTGCGACAGATCCATTGATTAGGTTTAATATTAAAAATAAATATAAATCTGTCATTAGGAAATACAGTAGAATGAGTTATTAATTAACATATTAATAACTCAACTTTTACATTTACCTTAATGCCTAAACAAAACAGAAACGGCCCCTAGTGGCAGGGTGCTGTGTACGGTTTAAGCTCCACCCCCTTCATTTACTTAAACAGAACATTTTTTCAACTAAATAGTTCAAATACTCTTTAGAACAAACAAAACATTGTCTTGCCAAGAAAAAGTAGCCACCACAAAGAAGGTCACACAGTAATATTTTATTGGACCGCCTTTAGCTTTGATGACATCATGCATTCATTGTGGCGTTGTTTCGATAAGCTTCTGCCATGTCACCAGATTAATTTCCATCCAGTGTTGCATTAAAGTTTCACCAATATCCTGCATTGATGATGGTAGAGTCTGACTGCTGCACAAAGCCTTCTCCAGCACATCACAAATATTCTCAGTGGGGTTAAGGTCTGGACTCTATGGTGGCCAATCCATGTGTGAAGATGATGTCTCATGCTCCCTGAACCACTCTTTCACTATTTGAGCCCGATTAATCCTGTCTTTGTCATCGTGGAATATGCCCGTGCCATCAGGGAAGATGGAATAACCTGGTTATTCAGGATATTCGGGTAGTCAGCTAACGTCATTCTTGGAGCACATCCTGTTGCTGAACCAAGACCTGACCAACTGCAGCAACCCCAGATCATAACACTGCCCCCACAGGCTTGAACAACCTCTCTTTAGAGCAAGGATGGGTTGAAAACCTGTTGGCACATCAGTTTGGTCTCTTATTGCTTATTTTATGTATTTGTCTTAGACTAAAACTGTCGTAGTCGGTCCAGGCAGAAAGATGTCCTTCCTGAGTCTGGTTCTGCAGGAGGTTTCATCCTGTTCAAAGGGAATTTTCCTTCCCACTGTCGCCCTGCTACCATGCTGCTCAGGATGAGGCAGGATTTTATTTAAGTGATCCTTAAGTGACCCAATCTGTTTACTTTTTAGGGACAATTTGACAATTTTACAATGAATCTAGTTTGATTACAAATATTCAATTTGCCTAAATCTGAACATGATTTAAACTTTAGTTATTAAAAATTTAAATTGAATGTCCTCTTTAAACTGCTGTATTAACACTGTGCCACTATATGTGGGTGTGAGTTACCTGGTAGTGGGCAGCGGGGTGGCTCGGAAGCTTCTGCTGAAAAAGCTCACAAAGGGATCGGTTCTGTCTCTCCAGGTCAAACACCAGCATCTTCAGCTTGATGCACTCCTCCCTCAAATCCTGCTCAGAATCACACAGGAGTCAGAACCAACTCAGGGTTCAGAAAAACAAGATCTTTGCATGCTGAGGCTGAGTGTTACCTTCTGGTTCAGCAGAGCCTGGACCACATGGTTAGCCACCTGATAACAGAACAGAACAGTTTGGGCATCAGGTTCACTGAATGAGTCTTAACCCTCTCAGACTCAAAATAAGTTTAGATAAAAGGACGAACAACTAAGTCCTTCAGGGGTACATGGGTATGTGGAGTAACCAGGTAGGTAGGTTTTTACTTTTGCAAATCTGCAATGCCTGCCTCCAGAGGGTTAAAGCAAATTTAAGTGTGAACTCACCTCATCCAAGCATCTTTCATAAGCTTCTCTCTGACTCTCATTTGCCAACATCAGAGCTGAATTCTCTGCCTGTAAAAGACAGATAAGCAACTTGTTACCCCCCAGTGGCTCATCACCACCAGGGAGTGAATGTGTGTGTGTGCATGGGTGACTGACTGATTGTATTGTAATGCACCTTGGGGGGTTCTAGGACTCTAGAAGGAACTATATGAAATACAGGCCATTATTTTACCATTTGTCAAGCTAACCCACATGTTAACATCACTTTAACTAGAGGAGAAACTTTATTCAAACTTGAACCTAGTCTGGTTTATGATGTAAAAGTCAGAGAAACTAACAACTTCCTAATTAGTGTTGGACACTAAACCAACCAACCAACCAACCAACCAACCAACCAACCAACCAACCAATCAATCAACCAACCAATCAATCAACCAATCAATCAACCAATCAATCAATCAATCAATCAATCAATCAATCAATCAATCAATCAATCAATCAATCAATCAACCAATCAATCAATCAATCTATCGAAATTACATGTCGATCAATAAACTAGGCAATAAAAACATTAAAATACAATAAAAATAATTTGCACTAAATAAAATAGCATTATTAAATACAAAATTAAAAATAAAACAACCAATTAAGAACCATGAACCATGTTGCATAAAAGCCAGATAATAAAAATGGGTTTTAGATAACTCTTAAACACCTGCAATAATGGTGTCTGTTTAATAGCAAGCAGCAACTCATTCCAAAGAGTTGGAGTCTTAACTGAAAATGCTCGATCCCCCCTAAACCTGTGTTTAGCGTTGAACAATCAACAACTCCTGCTCATCTGAGGAAAGGTATTGAGATGGGGTATGCCTTTGTAGCACAGCAGTCAGGTATGGAGCAGCACAACCCTGTAGAAAAATGTGCACACATGAAGACAATGCAGATAATCCAGCACTGGAGCAATGTGCTTCCTCCTCCTTGTCTCTGTCAAAAATCTGGATGCCAATTTCTGCACCAGTTGCAGCCGTGTCAAAGCTCACTGATTCAGCCCAGTGTATAATGCGTTGCAGTAATCAAGACTTGATAAAACAAATACATGTAGCACATACTCTAGGTGAGTTCTCCACAACATGGACTTAACTTTAGCTAACCGACGCATATAAAAAACAGGATCTCAGCACCATGTTGATGTGTGTTGAATTTGAGTGCTGCATCAAGTCTCACACCCAGGTTGTTAACAACTGTGGTCTGATATGGAGTCTCAAGGTTGAGAAAACCCAGACCCACTTTGACATTTGGAGCTCAGTTTGCTCTCATTCTAGTGGAGATAGTTAAAGGCCAACAAGGACTTGACATCATTCAAACAGGTCACTAAAGTACTGATAGAGCCCCCTGCCCCCCGACGCAGGGGAAAATAGATCTGGCAGTCATCCACATATAAATTAAACTTAACATCATGCTGTTAAGGAGGACTCCCGGGGTCAGCGAGTAGGGAGCTAAGAAGAGGGGGCCAAGAATGGAGCCTTGTGGCACTCCCCAACATAGTCCCTCCCAAGGTGACGAGGCATCACCCACCATGACACAGAACTCAAAACCCTGAAGAGGTGACCACGCCCATTTGGAGAGTCCTAAATGTGTTCTATATCAGTACCGATGGTTAGCAGGCATCTGTTTTGTTTACTACTCTGTCTCTATGGTAGAATCTGACTAAAGCCTTCCAGCTCTGACATTCTGAGCTCCTGCTCTACAGGAGGGTCTCTAGCTGACAGCTCAGACTAAGGAGGACTGTAGACCAACCCTCCTTCTATACCAGATGTGGAACACGTTTACTGGACAACGCTAACTCTGCTGCTAGAGAGAAATATCCTCCTAAAAAGGTGGACATTACTCCTAGAAGACAGGGCTTCTCAGATGTGTTTAGATTATTTGGAGGAGATTATGGTTCCTGTAAGTTTGGTTCCTCACCTCCAGCTCCCTTAGGCGGTCCATGAGCTCGCTGCTGTTGTCCTCCAGGAAAGACTCCACGTCTGCTTCCTCACCTTCCTCTTCGGAGCCAAAACCCCCCTGGCACATTCTGTGTTCTGTCTCATCAGACATTATTCTCATCTGCAACACAGAGTGTGATGCTGTGATTAACACTGCTGCCACCTTTACAGTCAGCAGACAAACACCACAGCACATTAAGATGTCCTACTTCTACATGAGTCAAAGTGACTCAGCACTTCATTAGTCACTTAGCATGTAGAGCCGATATGGGTCAGATATGTTTACAGTTTGTGTGGGATGATTAGAGCTGAATGCCATCATGCTTTCATGGTTTAGGGAAAAAAGAGCAAATGACTGCAGAAAAACCAGGAGTGCACCGATTGCAGTTTTTGGCCGATCACCCATCTTGAGAAAAACTTGACTTGCCGATACCAGTTTTGTCTTAACTAAAAGTAGATCACATCAATGTTTCAATTTCCTTTTAATGAGAAAACCAATATGAATATGAAACATGAAACAATACCAGTTTCAACTGGTCATGAGGTAATGTTCTCAAATATAAATGAACATATTCAGCATTTCTGTTTGAACTACAAAATCGCATTTGTTCCTTTAGACTTTCATTTTTCTAACTTTGCAAACAAAGCATGTGGACCAATCCGCTGTTGTTCTTGCTCCTTGTTGCCAGACTTCAGGGAAACCACCAGAGGATTCAGGATCCAATTAAAGTTACACACAAGGTGACAAATATAAACTTTTCTCTGTTGAAATGTTGCCAAATTAAATGTATTCTGGTTTATTATTTTTGATAATATCTTTCTTAACAAAAATGAAAGCATCTGTTAGCTACATGTCACATATGGGCCGATTCAGCTAGAGTGTTGATTTTTATAAATGTAATAAATACAAATATTTCTGCGTAAGAACGTATGAATGATTCCTGTCTCACACCTGGCTTTGATCGCAAAACTAGCAGGAAGGATGTTAATCCTATTTCTCTGAACAGAGGCTGTTCACTAACACCAATAGTAAAACCCAGCAGCATCACTGGATTTTCCAGCTGTTTAAATGTTTTATTATTGATGTTAAATTATTATAATCATCGTTTAACTGAATTGAACCCTGAATACTTTTAGTTCAGCATTTGTTGTGTAATAAATGAACAACAACATGAAGGTTTCTTGTGTTCTGGCAATGAGCAGATTGTTTGATAGTGCAATAAGGGCTTGGTTTGTTTTTAAGGAAGCGTTTGTCTAAAGGTCTTGTAAAGGGTTGGAAAAAAAAGGACGTATCTCAGTTTCATGAATTTAATGAGAAATAAAGAAGATAGCTGGATATTTTTGACCAAATAGCTTCATACTATCACAGTTGTGTCAGGTCAATGAGAAGTCACGGCGTTGACCTGCAAATCACAAGTAAAGCTGCTTAAAAACACCTTCATTCAGAAGCTGCAGCAGGCTTAAAGGTTAGATGGTTTTTAATTTATATAAACTAGTAGCCGATACAGATGACTTGTTAGATCTGTGCATTACTCATTTCAACTTTCTTTCCTCGTGTTGTGCAGATGACGAAATATCTTTCCCTCAACACTTAAAACACAGATGGACAACAGATTTGATCTCCAGACAACTAAAAACCTCTGATGCACTCTCCTTTCATCTGCTACCCTGTCACCTGCAGGACAATCCAGGAGCTTAAACAGTCTGGTCACCAAATACAGTTTTAACTGATTAAATAAATACAATCTGTAGAATTGAAAATGATTAGAAGCATCTGTTTGATCACTAGTCACATAGCTTACAGTATTTCAGTCAAAAACCAGTCCTAACCTTCAGATACTGTCTGGAGTTTCAGAGACCAGTCTGGAGTTTCAGAGACCAGTCTGGAGTTTCAGAGACCTCTCTGGCACTTGTGGGAGCTCATCTCCAGGTGTGTCTGTTGCCAGAGGAAGGTGTAAATGTGGACCCCAGTGACACGTCTTAAGAGAGGATTAGAGGGGATAAGAGCAGCCTGAGTCTGTGACTGACGGACAAGCTGGAACTGGAACACTTTACTGGTTTCCTGACCAGAACAGGGTAACACAAACTCCAAAATATCAGACAGTGATTTAGAGCTTCTGAAGGTTTATTTCCTTTCAGTTCTATTTATTCTGAGAAACCCACCTCTTATTCCTTCTAAATGGTTTCTTCTTGATTATTGAAGGCTCAGCTGATCAGTGAGTCACTGATGAACTGGGTTACATGTTCCTTCTTTGCACACCTCAGTACCACGCATCATCCTGCTACCAGAATCTGGATTAATCTAGCACTAAAATGAGCTCCAAAGAAATGGATTATTTACTCCCATTGAGCTACTTCAAAGGCAGAAGTGATGTCTACCAGACTTGACTCTTTGATTTTTGGTCTCAAGTGAGGTCCCAGTTCTTGAGCTCAGCAGCAGCTCATTCACCTTTTCTCCAAAACCAAAACAAGGAAATAAAAAACGAACAGAATTTTATGTTAGTTTTATTATTAGTTAAATAATATTTATTTATGCTTCCAGTTTATCTATAAATGAGCAAATATTTTAAACACTGTTGTTCAATATTCCTAGAAACTGGCCTTGTGGGTAAAAGGGCTGGTTTGGTCAGCTGATGCTGCTGACGAATACACGCCTCCTCCCCCTCCATCATCATGATCTGATACCTGTTTCATGGGTCATGTTACATCATAAGCTGACTAAAGCTGCCCCAGACCATGATACTACCACCACCATGTTTTACTGTCAGTTGTTGTTGTTTTTTTTAGTTTAACTCTAGATGGTAGAAAACCTTACAGAATGTTCCACTTCTGATTAGCTTTGGAACTTTCTGATGGAGGCCCCATTATCTGTAAATGTGGGCTGTGAGCAAGCGCTTGAGGGGAGTAGAATGATCTACCAAACATCTTTGAAATTAAATGAAATAAAAAAATACAACCATGAACAAATATTTAAAAATTTCAAAAGGATGAAAGCTACTGATGGGAAACATCTGGGGCTTTCAGTAGAAACAGTAACTGGAGCTGTTTGCAAAGCGTTTACTGGAAGATTATTGAACAGGACTGATTGTGAACCCTCACATTCAAAATCTGAGCAGCAACAACCAAAGTGTAGGCTGCTTATCGAGCTGTGATCAACTCAACACACTCACATCTAAACGTATAATGGATGGCTGATCAATGAAGCCCATCTAAGAACGGAAGCAGACATTCACCATGACACTGACCTTGAATGCAGGAATGATCCTGACTGAGTGGTTATAAATACCAGCTCTTCTCTTCACTAATGCACACCAAAGCTCCAGGCAGAAAGGCTAAGAAACATTTGCACGTCCCAGTGTGTTTGTGAAATCACTGCAGCAAAAGACAGCTAAAGTGAGGCTAAATATAGCAAGAACATGTGGCGCTGCCTCCGCTACAGCAGCTTTCTTCTGAAGTGCAAAATAAATGTCACAAACCTAGTTAAGAGCTTCACCGGAAAGAAAAAAAGAACATCAAGTTGTGTTTAGGTCATGCAGAAGTCATCACATCTTTATAGTCGTTTAAAGGTGAAAGTTTTTTTTATCGAACATCAATCACATTACACTTTAATAACAAACAATAAAACTCAGTAGACAACCAACAACTTTTATCAAATACAATTGGAAAAAAGTCTGTGCAGCAGAAATAACCAGATTTATAAATAATAAAGTATAAGGTAAAGTAAAGTAACAGACAGAGGACTTTAGTTCACAAGATCTTCAATAAAACTGACAAGTTTAACAGCCTGCATATTATTTACCTTTTTAAGGGATTTGCAAAAAAGAATAAAATCATTGTTGATAAAAGGCAGGCTTGGCTTCAATTTCATAAAACGGCATTTGTGAAAAAAAAAATTCCCACAAATTATCAAATTGTTAACAATAAATTGAATTTGTTTATTTTTTTCTATACAACCAAATTGAATAATGTTATATGTGAATAAGGGGATATTGTAACTCTTTTTGGATAATAGCCAAATGTATAAATCTGACCAAAGGGTATTTACCGAGTTGCAATCGTAGAAAAGGTGTTTCTGAGTTTCAATATCACTATTACATAAGACACATAAATTATCTTGTATATTAAATCTGAACGGTGAAGGGTGAGACAAAGAACGGCTCGAAGGATCTTTCATGGCGGTTAAAACGAAGAGTCGGAGTACCCGGCCCAGAGGATTACCGGGGTCCCACCCTGGAGCCAGGCCTGGGGTTGGGGCCCGTGAGCGAGCGCCTGGTGGCCGGGCTTTCGCCCATGGGGCCCGGCCGGGCCCAGCCCGAACCGGATACATGGGCTCGTCCAACTGTGGACCCACCACCCGCAGGAGGAACATGAAGGGTCCGGTGCAATGCGAATCGGGTGGCAGACCAAGGCGGGAGCCTTGAAGGTCCAATCCCCGGACAAGAAAACTAGTTTTTGGGACATGGAACGTCACCTCGCTGGCGGGGAAGGAGCCGGAGCTTGTGGCAGAGGTTGAGCGGTACCGGCTAGATATAGTCGGACTCACCTCGACACATTGCATTGGCTCTGGAACCCGTGACCTGGAGAGGGGTTGGACACTCTACTTTGCCGGAGTTGCTCCGGGTGAGAGGCGGAGGGCTGGGGTTGGCTTTTTGTTAGCCCCGAGACTCTCTGCCTGTGTGTTGGGGTTTACCCCGGGGGACAAGAGGGTAGCTTCCTTGCGCCTTCGGGTCGGGGAACGGGTCCTGACTGTTGTTTGTGCTTATGGGCCAAATATCAGTTCAGAGTACCCACCCTTTTTGGAGTCCCTGGGACGAGTGCTAGATAGGGCTCCATCAGGGGACTCCATTGTCCTGCTGGGGGACTTCAATGCTCACGTGGGCAATGACAGCTTGACCTGGAGGGGTGTGATTGGGAGGAACGGCCCACCTAATCTGAACTCGAGCGGTGTTTTGTTATTGGACTTCTGTGCAAGCCGCAGTTTGGCCATAACGAACACCATGTTCGAACATAAGGATGCCCACCGGTACACTTGGTACCAGGGCAGCCTAGGTCACAGGTCGATGATAGATTTTGTAGTCGTATCATCTGACCTGCGGCCGTATGTTTTGGACACCCGAGTGA